AGCCTCGTTATCGACATTTATATTTATGTGGAAGCCTTTTATAGTCTAAGTTGAGAATTATACCAAATGAAACGTTCCATGTGTCATTTTGATAAGGGAATGATAAAGAGAATGACGTAAAACTGTCGAAATCCCGTGAATTCATTATTCTAACGACTGTTTAGGACCAACGTCGCCATCTGTGACGTTTAGCTGCAACTAAATTTTTCCTATAAAAACAGGTGTTAGCCCCGAGACAAGCCAACATTCTCTTGCAATCGTTCGTGAAAGAATTTTTCATATTTTCCCATGTGACTATAATATTCCATTTCTACGGAATTTTAAATTGTTCGAGCTAGTACCTGAAATTCTTCATTTTCGATTCTAAGCCTCCAAGAAGCGTAAAACATCGAAAACGTGCTCGGGCCACACCATGTTGGTTCTAGTCCGTGATAAATAAATAAATTTTGAATGAAAAATGAAATTTCATGAGCTTCAGGACCTACTTTAGGACCTCCATGTTCCCGTGGTAAAATTTGAAACGAATCGGTACCCTTAATTCGAAGAATACTTTCCCCAACGATTTGACCTCTCAAACATATGTAGTCTGACTCTTTCATATTACCTTGAGAATATATCTGCTTGAAATCTAATCGCTATATCGCTACCTCAGATCTAATTGCTACACCGTGACGTTTTCAATTAAACCGAGTTTGATTGGAATTTTATCTTACACCGAAAGAAGAAAACCACTATCTACCCCGTTAAGATGATATGAAAGGCGCCGAGAAATTTAATTCAATGCGATAAAACACAATTTCTCGATACCCTTTTTGGTGGTAATGCCGTTTTGAATACTCAAGGAGCAACATAAGCCTCGTTATCGACATTTATATTTATGTTGAAGTCTTTTACAGTCCAAGTTGAGAATTATACGAAATGAAACGTTCCATGTGTCATTTCGGTAAGGGAATGATAAAGAGATCGACGTGAAACTATCGAAATCCCGTGAATTCATTATTCTAACGACGGTTTAGGATCAACGGCGCCATCTGTGACGTTTAACTGCAACTAAATGTATGTTCTAAAAACACGTGTTAGCCCCGAGACAAGTCAGCATTCTGTTGCAATCGTTGGTCAAAGTATTTACCATATTTTCCCCTCTGACTCTGTAATATTCTATTTCTACGATATCCTACATTGTTCCAGTTAGGTCTTGAAACTCTTCATTTTCGATTCTAGAGAAGCGTAAAACATCGGCAATTCAACGGGATAAAGGAAAAATAAGTGTTTTATGCGCTTGTATGCTAAAACGATGGGAATACAAGGTCTCGGACTGAAAATTTAATTGACCTGGAAATCACAAATAGCGTAAGGAATCCCTCTACAGTCAATTAGGGCCCGAGAAAGCTTGAATCCAGAGGATTTCTGGAGTTTGACTTCGATTCTCTTTATAATTATTGTTAAAAAATGACAGATGACGTTTGCCATTTAGTACAATACCCAATATAATTCGGCACATCTATCAATATAAAAGCAAACGTCGGAAACGGAGGTATTTAAAAAAAATCCTCTTTATCGACGTTGATCAAGTTTCTCAACGTGTTTCACTTCACCTTAGCAGTAATAGGATTAAAGTGGACATTTGTAGATGACAATACCTTGTAGCCACCGCCAAGAGTGCATCTTCGGGCCAAGGTTGCAGCCAATCAATCGTGCAACAATTAACCAATGCTGGGAACTTGCGAATCCGCGTACGAAAACCGTCACCGATGGGAGACATCGACACGACAATGTGTAATTGATTTCTGACAACTTGGACGAAGAAGTTGAAAAGTGCAACGGGGCTGCCATCAGTCTGAAGGTTCTTGTCCCTCTGTCGGTCGATTTGGCGCATTCTTTCACATATTTCGGCCTTTTCGTCAGTGGCGAACATGTTTGGCACTTCTCCTGAGTTCAGCAGGTTACTAATGTCCTCCAGAAAGGTCTCCGACTTGATCTGCGTATCGCTGAAGAGGAAGACGCTGTGCAAGTCGGACGCTGCACTCCTCCTCAAGAAGGTCTTCAGGTCTTCGTGCCACTCGTTGGGGCCGTATTGCTGAGACAATTCGATCTGGAAGACCTCATAGTCCATGATGTGTGCTGCCAACTTCGTCAGGGACTGACGACCGGAGCCTCCGACTCCCACCAGCAATCCATGACTTCGGGGTTGCTTCAGAATCCGGCAAATCTTCGATAAATGTTCCACCGCGAACCTGAAACATCGGATAACTAAGAAAATCAAATCACCTTTAACCCTTTGCACCCCTTTGTCGAGGGTGACTCGTCGTCGGCAATGGCCATCTCAATAATTTGGGGGGTAAAGGGTTAAGGTGCAGTGAAACCCCCCTCAAATCAGCCGACTCGAATAAGACACTTTTCTTTAAGGTGAAGTGAAACATGTCGAGGAACTTGATCGACGTCGATAAAGAAGATTTTTCTAAATGCCTCCGTTGCCGACGTTCGTTTTTATATTGACAGCTGTATCGAATTATTTTGGATATTGCACCAAATGGCATACTCCACCTGTCGTACAAGAAATATCAAGAAATCGAAGTGAAACTCCAGAAATCCTCTGGATTCATGCTTTCTGGGGCCCTAATTGACTGCAGAGGGACTCCCTGCGCCATCTGTGATTTCCAGGTCAATTAAATTTTCACTCCGAGACCTCGTATTCCCATCGTTTTAGCATAGAAGCGCATACAACACTTTCTTTGCCTTTATCCCATTGAAATTCGAGTTTATCGATTAGCAGAGATTTCTAAATTGTCGCAAAATTGTCCTGACCCTTTAGTTTCTCATATCAGAGCCTTCAATAATTGTTTTTTGATCGAAATATGAGAGCTCGACGCCATTTTGGTTCTGGTCTGGAGTGTCAAACAATTTTGTTCAAAAATCCAAATTTTGAAAGTGTCAGGATAATTCCTAGGTGCTTACGAGTCATGTGCCAAAAGTTTGGACAGTTTGATCCAATACCCTTTGAAGAAAAGTGTCTTAATCGAAACGACTGATTTGAAGGGGGTTTCACTTCACCTTAAGGGCGTTGGTTCGAACCGTCTGAAACTTTGACACATTACTCGCAAGCACCTAAGAATTATCCTGATACGTTTAAAATTCAGACTTTTGAAAATGTTTTTTTACGCATCCCAGACCAGAACCAAGATGGCGTCGAACTCTCATGTTTCGAACGATATTCAATTATTGAAGACTCTAATATGAGAAACGAAAGGTTCAGGACAATTTTACGACAATTTCGAACACTTTGGTAATCGATAAACTCGCATGTCAGCGAGATAAAGACAAAAAATGTGTTTTATGCGCTTGTATACCAAAACGATTGTAATACGAGGTCTCGGAATGAAAATTTGGTTGACACGGAAATCACAGACGGAGCACTTTGCAGTCAATTAGAGGCTCGAAAATCATGCATTCAGAGGATTTCTGAGGTTTTGTTTTGATTTCTTTATAATTATTGTACGAAAACGACATATAGAGTATGCCATTTAGTACAATACTCAATATTATTCGACACAGCTGTCGATATACAAATGAACGTCGCCAACGTAGGTATTTAGAAAAACCTTTTTTACCGACGTCGATCAAGTTCCTCGACGTGTTTCACTTCACCTTAACCCTAACACTCAAGAATAGGGTATAAACCCACCCCAGTAAGGTTGGAGACTTCATCCCCTAGCTGACAATTTTTTGTTGTTCTTCAGTCTTTAGATGAGGTTTTCATAAATTATGGTTCAATGAAATTTAATTTGTTCCTGATCATTCACTTCCTTATTAAAGAAACGAAGTAATTTATCTACTAATGGTAGGTCCCGTTTATTTCTGATAGGAAACATTTTGTCAACGAAAAACAAGTGGATACCTACTTGTCATGAATTAGTGGATAGAAAAAATGATACATGAAGTCTAGGGTTAAAAACCAATTTGTAAGTTACAAGTCCACTAAGTTTGTGGTCATCATTGTGACATTTGTTGATAGACGAGTCATTAATACTTAGACATATTTTCAAAATCGGCAGTACGGAATATTAAACTTCACAAATTTTGAATATCCTTTGTTTTGCAGTATTTGTATTATTTGATAAAGAGAAGTTCGAATACCTAAAGAGCACTAAATTCATGGGTTTCTTCTCAAACTTCACAAATTTTGAATATCCTTTGTTTTGCAGTATTTGTATTGTTTGATAAAGAGAAGTTAAAATACCTAAAGAGCACTAAATTCATGGGTTTCTTCGAAATCGAGTTAAACTCGACAAGGTAATCTTTCACTACATCTCCCAGTGCATCCAAATTCTTCACTTCCGTGTACAACTTCACGTCGGACATTGGATTTTGAAAATCACAGTATACAAGATTCCGCAAACCGGTTTCAGTTACCTGAAATCGGAATAAACTGTTATTACTTGAAAAACGTCAGGAAATACCTGCTTATTATTTGACTTAATCAGAATTAGGAGACATTGTTGAATAATGATGTCGGTCTTTGGTAGAAATTACTAAATAAAATGACTACGAACACCCTTAGTCATTTTTAATATGAAAAATGTTTAATATCACTCTTGACATTTTTTACCATTTTTAATATTGTAAATGAAATGGTTGATAAACCTACTGTAGTAAAGGGCTCGATGATAAATTCCCGGAAGAGATCGTCCATTTTCACTTCCATACGTTGAACAAGAGTTTGTCGAATCTGTTCGACGAGCCAAGCTGCATCAGCGTCATCTACGAGGCGATCCCCATAAACTCGCAAAACTTCGTGAACCCACAATCTCTTCATGGCACTCTGCACACGTTCCAAAACATGCAATTAAGGTGATATGAAAGAATCATACCTATACATACCAAGAGATAAAATCATTCGTGAAAATATTTTCCGAATTGGGGGTACCAATTGCTTTCAAATTTTCCCACGGGAACATGGAGGCCCTAAAGTTGGATATGACATCCATGAAATTTCATTTTTCAACAAAAATTTATTTACGTATCATGAGCTCGAACCAACATGGCGTGGTTCGTACACGTTTTCGGTGTTTGACACTTTTTAAAAGCTTAGAATGGAAAATGAAAAGTTTCAGGACCTAGCTCGAACAATTTAGGATGAGAAATGGAATGCTGGCTTTTCTGGGAGCTAACACGTGGTTTTAGAGCAAAAATTTAGTTGCAGTTAAACGTCACAGATGGCATCGTTGATGCTAAACACTGGTTTGGATTTGCATGCATTCCAAAACATGCAATTAAAGTGATATGAAAGAATCGTACCTATACATACTGAGAGATCAAATCGTTCGTGAAAATATTCTCCGGATTTTGGGTACCGATTCCTTCTAAATTTTCCCACGGGAACATGGAGGCCCTAAAGTAGCATCTGACATTCATGAAATTTCATTTTTCAACAAAAATTTATTTATGTATCCTGGACTCGAACCAACATGGCATGGTCCGTACACGTTTTCGGTGTTTTACACTTCTTAAAAGCTTAGAATGGAAAATGAAGAGTTTCAGGACCTAGCTTGAACAATTTAGGATGAGAAATGGAATTTTACAGTCAGATGAAAAAATATGGAAATACTTTCGCCAACGATTGCAAGAAAATGCTGACTTTACTCGGGGCTAACACGTATTTTTGGAGCAAACATTTAGTTGTAGTTAAACGTCACAGATGGCAACGTTGAACCTAAACAGTCGTTAGAATAATGAAATCGCGGGATTTCGACAGCTTTACATTGATCTCTTCATCAATACTTTACCGAAATGACATATGGAACGCTTCAGTTCGTGTAATTCGCAACGTAGACTGTAAAAGAACTTCAACATAAATATAAATGTCGATAACGGGACGCGATAGCTTATGTTCCCCCTTGAATGTTTAAATCGTCATTACTACCAAACAGGATACAAATGAATTTTATTTAATCGATGTCGATTAACTTCCTCATCGCTTTTCATATCATGTTAATAGTGTAAAAAGACTGATGGGTTAAAAAACGGATTTTTACGTTGTTTGGGCAAATACATTTGTTTGACTAAAAACTATTTTGTTGCGCAAATTCCTAAAGCTATAATAAAATTAAAAGAAGAAGAAGTGAAATTACCACGTTACCCCATACATATTAGAGCATTCTGCATTCTTTTTGATTTTAATTATTTTATTTATTTAGAACAGAAAATCGTGGAAAATGTAAATTTATTACCTCATCAGGTACAGTCTCTGGTACCGAGAGCAAGACACCTTGAATAACTCTGGAGAAATCCCGAAGATTAAAAAGGTAATGGGACTTCGCCGGTGTTGGCAACAAATTCTTCATGGTTTCCTTGTATATATCCAAAGTCCCAAACACGATATAATCGATACAAAGCTCGAATTCTTCGGAAAATCCACGTGTTGACAAGTGCCAGGCGAAAATCTTGCTGAAGATGGTGACCATCACGTCGTCCTCGAACTCGGAGATGCCCAACGTGAAAAAGTGTCTTTTAAATCTGCGAGTGTAACAATAGAATTAAACGCATATTCATTTCCAAACCTCCAAAATATCACATTAGAAACATAAATTATTCTTGTTTACGTGGTGATCACTATTAATGAATTATCCATTCCAAAAAATTGTCATTAAAATGAACAAAATCTTTCATAGTTAAGGTGGTATGAAAGAATCAGCCTATATGTGTATATCTGATTGTGAGAGGTCAAATCGTTCGTGAAAGTATACTCCGAATTGAGTGTACCGATTCGTTTCAAATTTTACCACGGGATAATGGAGGTCTTTAAGTAGGTTCTAAAACTCATGAAATTTCACTTTTCGTAAAAAATATATTTATTTATCATGGACTAGAACCAACATGGCGTGGTCCGTACACGTTATCGAGGTTTTGCGTTTCTTGGAACCTTAGAATCGAAAAGGAAGAGTTTTAAGACGTAAATCGAACGAGTTAGAATATGATAGAACTGGAATATTACAGAGTCGGATGGGAAAATATGGAAAATACTTTTAACAACGACTGCAAGAGAATGCTGGCTAATCTCGTGACTAACACATGTTTTTAAAGCATAAATTTAGTTGCGGCTAAACGTCACAGATGGCGACGTTAGTTCTAAACAGTCATTAGAATAATGAATTCATGGGATTTCGACAGTTTTACGTCGATCTCTTCATCATTACTTCACTGAAATGACATATGAAGCGCTTCAATTCATATAATTATCAACGCAGACTGTAATAGACTTCAACGTGAATATAAATGTCGGTAACGTGACGCGCCAGCTGATGTTCCCATTTGGATATTGAAAACGACATTACCACCAAAAAGGGTACAGATGAATTTTAATTTATCGACGTCGATTAAATTTCTCAGCGCCTTTCATATCACCTTAATATAATTAAATTTTCAAACACTAAACGTATGGTTTGTTATCCAGTTCCCATTTACAAATGTTCTTGTCATTTTCTCTTTCCTCCCGATATTGTGATTTATCAAAAACTCGTCATAAACCACCCTCCTCAGAATGAAGAACTCAGTCGTACTTACCTAGGAGTAACATCTTGACCACCAGAAGGTGGACCCATGGCACACATCAGCTGCATGTCGACCAACTTAATGGGTACCACCGCCTTCATGTCGTACCAGGTCCAGTGGTCCAGCCATTGCCGAAGAAGTTCAATGGGCGGCTGAGCGCCGTACTCCTCTTTCAAGGGCATGGAGAGATCATCCACAAAAATGACCCAATGTTTCCCAGGTGGAGCCCCATAAACCCCCTTCCTCCTTTTGTCCATCTTGCTCATGATGATATCCTGGGTCTGGTTGGCCGTCGTCTGAGCGGAGAAGGTCACGAAGAGAGGTTTGTACACGCTGGGGTCGATCTTCTTCAGCATAAAGTCCATCACGTAGACGGACTTTCCGGTACCGGTTGGGCCCACCAGGAGTACCGGCTTTCGGTGGCGAACCAGCTGGTAAAAGAGATGAGTGTATCTGACGGTCTCCACCGTGGGAACGATGATCTGGTTCACCGGGATGTCCCTAGGGATCGGAGGGAGGTCCGCGAGGTCGTCGGACCACGGCCTCCATCTGCCTTTGCCTTCTTTTACGAACTTGTAATCGTAAACTAGACCTGCACTTGGTATCGGCATGATGTAGGGCTTCTTCGGGCCCTTCGTATCCTTCGGCAGGAAAAAACGAATCGCCAGATCTTCGGGGACGTCGCGCTCCATCAGACCTCTGAAAATAATACGAAAGGCGCTGAGAAACTTAATCAAGGTCGATAAATTAAAATTCATGTACACCCTTTTTGGTGGTAACGTCATTTTGAACATCCAAGTGAGAACATCAACGTCCTGTTACGGACATTTATGTTGAAGTCTTTTACAGTCTATCTTGAGAATTATTCAAACTGATGCGTTCCATGTGTCATTTCGGTAAAGTCATGATAAAGAAATCGACGTTAAACTGTCGAAATCCCGTGAATTTATTATTCTAACGACTGTTTAGGACCAATGTCGCTATCTGCGACGATTAGCTGCAACTAAATGTTTGCTCAAAAAACAGGTGTTAGCCGTGAGACAAGTTCTTGCAATCGGTGATGAAAGTATTTTCCATATTTTCCTATCTAACTCACGCATGCGCCCCGTTATCGTCATTTACATTTATGTTGAAGTTTTTTACAGTCTAAGTTGAGAATTATACGAACTGAAGCATTGCATATATCATTTCGGTAAAGTAATGATTAAGGGATAGATGTAAAACTGTCGAAATCCCGTGAATACATAATTCTAACGACTGTTTAGAATCAACGGCGCCATCTGTGACGTTTAGCTGCAACTAAATATATGTATACTCTAACAACGCGTGTTAGCCCCAAGATAAGCCAGGATTCTCTTGCAAACGTTGGTGATAGTATTTCCCACATTTTCCCATCTGACTCTGTAATATTCCATTTCTACGGTATTCTAAATTGTTCGAGCTAGGTCCCAAAACTCTTCATTTTCGATTCTAGGCCTCCAAGAAGCGTAAAACATAAAAAACGTGCACGGGCCACGTCATGTTGATTCTGGTCCATGGTAAATAAATACATTTTTCATGACAAATGAAATTTCATGAGTTTCAGGACCTACATTAGGGCTTCCAGATTCCCGTGGTAAAATTTGAAACGAATCGGTATCCCTAATTGGGAGAATACTTTTCCCAACTATTGGACCTCTTAGATATATATAGGCTGACTCTTTCATATCACCTGAAGAGGTCGCTGAACCAGTCGCGATAAGTAACCAGCAACGTTCCTCCCATAGCCCAGATGCAGGAAAAGAAAAAGGATCCCTGGAATTATTTTTTGAGAATTAATGGTCTGACATTTTCATCTGAAATCTTACTTATCCTATGAACATTTCTTCAGCATTAGCGTAAGTGCAAACAAATATTTCAATGGTAAATGGGTGATTCCGATATTCTCGAAGATGCTAATCCCCGATCCCTAGTAGCATAAAATAATTTCTAAATATTTCTTTGTAATCTTTGTTAAATATCTCAAGCGACAGATTTTTTAAGATTTCTTGTAGATTTCATTCGAAGATATTTAAAATATTTCTTGCAAATCTCAATGACATGTTTAGTTTCAATAATTTATGAACGTATAGAGAAATTATATTTTTTAACTTATTAACATNATATTGTAAAGTAAACGTTTTGCAAATATTTCAAATGTCTGCTAAATATTTACAAAATGTAAGATATTCGTTAAATATATAGAAAATATAGGACAAATATTTTGTGCTACTAGGGATATTGGACTACTATAACATTGCAATGTTACGGTAAATTTTCATTTAAAATGGAAAGGAATGTTTTCATTTTACCGTACTGGTTACGTTCTAACCGATTTTTCTAAAAACTCTTTTAACCCTTTCATTAGAGCGGTCCGCTCCACCAAACAACCGCCCCTGAACGCGACACCGCGCCGAAAGGGTGCACATTGCGCTTCGGCAGTCTTCGGTGTTCGAACTTACGTCTTCCACCCGAACAACGCCTCCTTAAGGTGAAGTGAAACATCCTTCAAATCAGTCGATTCGAATACAACACTTTTTTTAAGGGTATTAGACCAAATTGTCCGAAACTTTGACACATCACTCCTGATCCTCTAAGAATTGTCCTGACACATTCAAAATTTGGATTTTTGGAAAAAATTTTTTAACAGCTCAGACCAGAACCAAAATGGCGTCGAGCTCTCATATTTTGATAGATATACAATTATTTCAGGCTGTAATTGAGAAACGAAAGTGCCAGGACAATCGTACCACAATTTAGAACACTCTGGTAATCGAAAAAGTCGCATTTGAATGGCATAAAGGCGAAAGTAGTGTCTTATGTGCTGCCATCCTAAGACAATGGTAATATGAGGCCTCGGAGTGAAAATTTAGTTGATCTGGAAATCACAGATGGCGCAGGGGGTCCCTCCGCAGTCAATTAGGGCCCCAGAAAGCACGAATCCAGAGGATTTCTGGAGTTTTATTTCGATTTCTTTATAATTATTGTACGAAAATGACAGGGGGAGTATGCCATTTGGTACAATATCCAATATACTTCGACCCAGCTGTCGATATAAAAACCAACATCGGCAACGTAGGCATTTAGAAAAATCTTCTTTATCGACGTCGATCAAGTTCCTCAACGTGTTTCACTTCACCTTAACTGCCTTTTGTACGTACACTTTTCTAAGCATTAAATAACAACTGTTTTGTCGACTTATTCCATTATTAAATTTCCAAATAAAAGTCTAACCTTAAACTTTTAAGGAATTAAAAGTTATCCCAATAGCTGGACTTCTCGTCTCGTCTCGATGACCAAACCGTGTTACGTATGTTCAAAATGTACTTTTAGGACCATTAATCCAATACGGGTCAATACGATCAAAAAATACTCTGCAGATATGGCAAAATTTGTTACCGACTAAAGTCGGCGCTCGTCCACAAAGGTCGTCGCATGTGTGCCGATTATAGTCGGCGCTCGTAACGAAAGGGTTAATAGAATTTTGTGATAAGCACATTTCAAGGATTGAAAGTTAATGGAGGTATTGTGAACATTTTCGAAAGAAAACTTACCTCGATCTGCGCTCTCATGTCCAGGTCAGATACCGTTTCTAAATACCTCTCATCTAGAAAGTCATCGAGGAAGCAATCGAAGAGGTACATGACTGACCTCGTCAGATTGGCATCCGGCATGTACAGCATTTCCTATAAATGACAACAACTTCTCAATATATTTAACTCTTAAGCCACTAAATTAAAAAGAAAACGTTCCAACGAAAACCTGTCTCCTCCACAGCATTCACCTTAGCGTTGCACCTGCGAATAAGGTGCAGCAACGCGGGACAAAACCTCATGAACATGTCCTTCAAATGATTCTTGACATGCTCGCTCAGCGTTGAGGGTAAAGTGTTCAACCAGGATATCAAAAGCGGCGTCCAGCCCAAAGCAACTGGTTCCATGTAAATCATTCCACACCTGGACACGGTCGCTGGAGAGGCAACCTAAAAGTACACACCATGAGTATACAAATGACTTTACAACAAAGATATGAAAGTTCACTAAATGTATTAATCATAAAACGAGTCGTCGAAGTCCTTGGAAAAAATTAAAGGACCTCCAGATCCATTGGCTCAAAGATGAGATTAGTCGTGGGCGCCAATTGAATGATCTCCCCGGACATGAGGCAGAGCTTCTTGTTGTCATCCAGAACGGTGTTCATGTTCTCTATCCAAATGGCGTCGACAGGACCGTCGAAGACCAGCCACTTGCGGTTCTCGTTGGTGGAGACCGCGAAGGCCCTAAAATTCACGGCCAGGACCCCGTCGCTCCATTCATGAGAAGCTGGGTCGAAGTAACCATAAAGCTGACCCATGGTGATGGCTTTGGGGTTTATCACGGTTATCTCGACCCGGTGCTCCCCCATGAGGCCCCGTTCCTCCAGAAGAGCCAAACACTCGGCCAGCATCCTGTAGGCCGAGGTCTTTCCGCCGAATGGCAGACCCACGATCATGAACCCGTGTCTGACGATCATCATCTCGAAGATCTGCTGGATCTTCTCCAGGAAGACGTCGGTGCACTGCAGGTTCGCCCTCTCGCAGACTTCCTTCGCGCAAACGTTCAGGTGCGTGTAATCAGGCTCAGGAAGAACCACTCCGGGGAAAAGGTCCGAAGCAATACCTGAATTGACAAAAAGTACTAATATAAATAACGATTAAGGGCTGATGTTAAAGGCCTTCCATTTCTTCTTCATTTTTCAGCAGATATGGACGAACCGGACATAGATGGCAGAGTTTGAATAAATATGAATAATAATCTGAATAATTAATATAAATAATGATTCAGAAGGAACACTGAGTGTTATCTATTTGTTACTTTTTAAGGTGAAGTGAAACCCTCTCAAATCAGTCGATTCGAATAAGACACTTTTTTTAAGGGTACTGGATGGAACCGTCGGAAACTTTAACACATGACTTGTGAACACCTAGGAATTATCCTGACACTTTTAAAATTTGGATTTTTCAAGCAAATTATTTAACTTAGGCGAGACGAGAACCATAATGGCATCGAGCTCTCATATTTCGATCGATATACAATTATTGAAGGCTCTAATATGAGAAACGAAAGAGTCAGGACAATTGTACGACAATTCAGAACACTTTGGTAATCGAGAAACTCACATTTAAACGGGGCAAAGGCAAAAAAAAGTATTTTATACGCTTCTATGCTAAAACAATGGGAATACGAGGTCCCGAAGTGAAAATTTAGTTGACATGGAAATCACAGATGGCGCAGGGGGTCACTGCAGTGAATTAGGGCCTCAAAAACCATGAATCCAGGGGACGCCTGGTATTCTACTTTGATTTCTTTATAATTATTGTACGAAAACAACAAGTGGAGTATGCCATTTAGTGCAATACTCAATATAATTCGATACAGCTGTCAATATATAAACGAACGTCGGCAACGTAGGTATTTAGAAAAACCTTTTTTATCGATGTCAATCAAGTTCCTCGACGTGTTTCACTTCACCTTAAGTCAAACTTCTTATGACATAATAGAACATACGCTGCAAAAAATCGATGGAAATTTTCATACATTTTTACACGCTACATAAATAGAGTTATACATAAAAAAAAAGAACGTGAAATAGAACAATTACAAATCAGAAAATGTAAAAATACCATCATATTTATCATAAAGAGTCAACCGAGATTATCGAAACCTGCCCTCTAAAGTCGATGAAAAAGCATCAAATATGGTCGACGAATGGATCTCTAAATTTTCCCATCTTTTAATCTTGGCTAAAAGAAGTCCGAGTTGTGTCATCTTTTAACCTCGAGTAAAAAATGCCAAAATCCAGGGCATAAGAAATTGTTTCGCCTTCGTCTTGTCGACTATACGCTATACCAAAAGATGACTTTTCAGAATCTCGTCACCTTTCAGACATGTTTTAATCGTCGTTGTGCTGTCCAAGATATTTCCTGGCAATAAGTAAAAGCAAAAACATATTGGAGTACTTCGTAAAAGTCATTTTCTCTGGCGTTATTCCGAAAAGCACTTGAACTCCGCGATAATACCGAACACATCGTAAACCGTATGATGTCGAGCGTGACGGAGCGTCCATCCTTGAAGATCTCCAAGAATCACGTTTTTTATTACCTCGGTGAGGTGGGTTGCAACAATATTTTCCCCCTATTTCCGAGATCGATACTTGCGCCAGTAGAGAAATATCATACGCACCCTTGAAGAGCGGCAGATCCTGATTAAGGAATTTCGGCAGATTAACGTCATTGATGCTCCTTAAGAGCAGGACGTCTTCGGACTCATCCGGGTACTTCAATTTCAGATTACCGGCAGCTGTCAGCACGGACTTGACAGCTCTCATGCCATAATCGTAGTGACATTGACTGCTCAGCTGCTCGGAACAGAGTTTGTAGGCCGTGACGATCTTGACGGCGAGTGGCCTGCCGTTGTAGAAGCCGAAGGAGTAAAGCTGGATCTCCGAAATCAGGGCATAATCCGGAACCATCATGGCGACGGACCTGAAGAGGGCCTTCAGGTTGTCAGGGAGTTCCGACCTGCCGGCATATCCGGGATTCATGGTAATGAAGACGGCGCAGGAAGGGTCCAGGAAGATTTCCGTGCCCTCGAAGAGCAGCTTCTCGGCCCCTGAATTGATCCCCCGTTGAATAGTTAAAATCTGCTGGGCCACGACCGACAGGACCTCGAGGTCTATCCGGTTGAATTCGTCGAAACAAGACCAGGCTCCGCAGGATGCGAGGCCCTTGAAGAACTTCCCTAGAGCTATGTAGTCCAGGCCATCGGAGCAATTGAAGACCACGCATTGCTTCGCCACCGCCTTGGCGAGGTCCTTCGTCGTCTCCGTCTTCCCGGTCCCGGCAGGACCTTCTGGAGCTCCACCCAAATGAAGGCTCAACGCCCCGAAGAGCGTCCTGTAGCATCGATCCGTCAAAGGAGTGATCACCAGTCGTCCTGTGTTACCCAGGTACTCGTATCCGTATTGCAGGTAATAATTGATCATGTATGTCCATAGGTTGTCTTCCTGAAATTTGCAGAAAAATATTGCAGGTAATAATTGATCACATATGAGCCCATAATTATGAAAGTGGTCCAAGTCAAAATTAAAAAAAAAATGAGTTTATCAGTTATTTCACTCTACATCATTTTAAACTAAATTAATTAAATGTAATTTTTACGATATTGTCAAAAATGAATTATTCGATGGTGGTTGTAATTACAACATTATATGGAATTCATTTAGTGTTAATTATGAAAGTGGTCTAAGCGAAAAATTTAAAGAAATTATATAAACATAACCATAAAATGGCACGTGGCCCTCTAGCGCGTTTTTGAACTACACAATAAGCCGACAAATGACAATTAAACGATAACAGAACCGACAATACTTTCCGGTCTACCTAACAATATATGGAATTCATCTAGTTCTATTTTGAAAGTGCATTAATTCAGTTGGGCTCTTCCGAACTAATTATCGGCGGAAAATTAATTGATACATTTTACCACTATGTCAACAGATAGCGATTCAGGTAAGTTAATGACAACGTACTTATTATGTGAATACGTTAATTATTATTCGGATATCATGTGATTTGCAGATATTTTACGACCACGTAATATTTCTTCAGATGATTCTAAATTCCACGTTTTGGATCTTTCACCTAAAAGAGGAAGACCAAAAATATACGGAAATTACTTCCATTATACCCCACCACTAGACCAGTAACGGAATAAAAACATAAAGATAATATGTGTTTGCTACCATACATCCCTCCAATTTTTCAGGAACATTTTAAGAATCTTAAAAACTCATAATGATAAAAGCCTAAAATGATAAAAATGGATTACTTTTTAAAAATAATTAATAAATGTTCATGAATTATTTCATTAAAGTTATTGTTTCTAACAAAACTCGTAGCTTTTTATTGCTTTAAGTCATTTATAGGGCATTCGGTTAATTTTGAAAATGGTCTAAGTCAATTCACCCTTTAAAAACAACATTTTCGTATGAAAGTCACCCAAAATTTCATATTCACAATAAATTTCCATTAATCAAGACTAATAAAATTCTAAATTAATATGCTGCATAATATAAAAATATTTTTTAATTTATTCAAAAGCAATTCATTAAATATCTCGAAAAGAGAAATATATGACTTAAACTACTTTCATAATTATGGGCACATATGGTCATAGATTGTCTTCCTGAAATTTGCAGAAAGTATTGCAGGTAATAATTGATCATGTATGTCCATAGGTTGTCTTCCTGAAATTTGCAGAAAGTTTCGAAACCGTTGGAATACCTGAAATTTGCAGAAAGTTTCGAAACCGTTGGAATACGTTCGAAGTTACCCAGGGTTATAAAGAAAGTAATAAATTTAATTAATATTAATGAGATGCTAATGAAAGATATGTGCGTTATTGTAATATTTTACGATAAAACTCCTGGTGTGTGAGAAACAATGGATGTGGCGCCATTGGGTAATTGTTGAAAAATACAAAATTAGGTTTATATTATGAATGAAAAAGCAGTACCATCCAATAATAACGTAGTTGACAAAGCCAATTGAAGTCGTCATTTTTTGTAACTTCTTTTTCTACGAGATCGTTAACGACGTCCTTTCCGTGTACGTCCAAAGTGACCAAAGCCTCTGTGATATAAAAAATGAAATCTGACATCACTAAACACACTATGTTAGAATTACATAATACTGGAATAACATGATATATAACGAATGTTATTCACGAGACACATTAATATCATATAACGTCGAATTATTACCTTTCGGTAACATTGTTACAAACTGGTAAGCATTGCAGTTATATAATATTAACATAACATATAACATGTTGCCGATATGTTATGTATACGTTGCATTATTCATTTTATAACAGGGTTATATAGCTGCGGAGGAAATAGTTTTCCAGATCTTACTTATATGTTATATGTATGTTATAAACGTATGTTCACGAAAATGTATACATGTTACAAACGTTATGTAATGGTTATATAATTGTTACGTAACCGTGTTTGGTAGGAAAACACTATTTTCTTGAGACCGTCTCATTCTTCGCAATATTATGGAAGTTTCAGCAATGTCTCTTATTTGCAAAATATGCCGCTTCGTTAAATTCGAAGCAATTAAATATAACTAAATAGTAGCGTTTCTGTAAATTCAATTGAATTGTTTTGAAACTTCCGGCTTTTTTCGAATGTTATACAAAATCAACATGACTGCGTTTTTAATTTTTTTCATTAAAGCATACCTAAAGTAATTCTGGTCTGCTTCGGCAGTTTCCCTCTGATGATCAAGATGATTTCGTTTAATTCTCGTTGGCATTGGTTGAAGTATCGTTTCAGGCCTTCGACTCCTCGAGCAAGAGCTTTTTCCACTTGCTGAGTCCAGTAAAGCTGACCGATGCAAAGGACGGTCTGTCCGGGCCATTCCTGGACCCAGTCGACCCTCTTCTTCAGCTCATAGGCCTCCATCGCCTCGAAGACTTTATTTTTGATACTTTTCCTCATGTCGACTTCCAGCTCCAAAAGCCACTTCTCCACTTGACCCCTGGCAGCCGAAGTAGAGATTACGTCGACGAGGTCCACTTCTTCGCCCTCGGCAGACTTCATCTTGTGCACATCCAAGTCCTCGTCGAAGTGCAGCTTTGCTATTCCTTCGAAGCACTTCTTCAAGTGCGGCTGAACCCTAATGAAAAAGGAGAAAATATTTCATTGATAATTTGTAAATTAAATGAAGAAGTAAGAAATCAAAAAGGGTCATTATATCATTTAAGGTGATATGAAAAAGTCGACCAATATATTTGAGAGGGCAAAACGTCGGGGAAAGTATTCTCCGAATTGAGGGTACCGATTCGTTTCAAATTTTACCATGGGAATATGGAGGCCCTAAGGGAGATCCTGAAATTCATGAAATTTCATTTTTCATGAAAATATTTCATTTAAAATTTGGAAATTAAATGAAGAAGTAAGAAATCAAAAAGGGTCATTGAGTCAACCTATATATTGGAGAGGGCAGAACGTTGGGGAAAGTATTCTCCGAACTGAGGGTACCGGTTAGTTTCAAATCTTACCACGGGAATATGGAGGCCCTAATGTAGATCCTGAAATTCATGAAATTTCATTTTTCATGAAAATAATTCATTTAAAATTTGGAAATTAAATAAAGAAGTAAGAAATCAAAAAGGGTCATTATATCATTTAAGGTGATATGAAAAAGTCAACCAATATATTTGAGAGGGCAGAACGTTAGGGAAAGTATTCTCCGAATTGAGGGTACAGATTCATTTCAAATTTTACCACGGGAATATGGAGGCCCTAAAGTAGATCCTGATATTCATGAAATTTCATTTTTCATGAAAATATTTCATTTACAATTTGTAAATTAAATGAAGAAGTAAGAAATCAAAAAGGGTCATTATATCATTTAAGGTGATATGAAAAAGTCGACCAATATATTTGAGAGGGCAAAACGTCGGGGAAAGTATTCTCCGAATTGAGGGTACCGATTCGTTTCAAATTTTACCATGGGAATATGGAGGCCCTAAGGGAGATCCTGAAATTCATGAAATTTCATTTTTCATGAAAATATTTCATTTAAAATTTGGAAATTAAATAAAGAAGTAAGAAAACAAAAAGGGTCCTTTTATCTTTTAAGGTGATATAAGTCAACCTATATATTTGAGAAGGCAAAACGTTGGGGAGGGTATTCTTCGAACTGAGGGTACCGATTCGTTTCAAATCTTACCACGGGAATATGGAGGCCATAAAGTAGATCCTGAAATCCATGAAATTTCATTTTTCATCAAAAATTTATTTATTTATCATGGACTAGAACCAATGAGGCGTGGTCCGTGCACGTTTTCGATGTTTTACGCTCCTTGGAGGCCTAGAATCGAAAAATAAGAGTTTCGGGACCTAGCTCGAACTATTTACAATACCGTAGAAATGGAATGTTACAGAGTCAGCTGGGAAAATATAGGCAATACTTTCACCAACGATTGCTAGAGAATGCTGGCTTGTCCCATGCCTAACACGTGTTTTTTGAGCAAAAATTTAGTTGCAGCCAAACGTCACAGATGGCGACGTTGGTTCTAAACAGTCGTTAGAATAATTAATTCACGGGATTTCAACGATTTTACGTCGATTTTTGTATCATTACTTTACCGAAATGACACATAGAACGTTTCATTTCGTGTATTTCTCAATGTAGAGTGTAAAAGACTTCAACGTAAATATAAATTTGGTAACGGGACGCACCAGCTTATGTTCCCCCTTTCGTATTTAAAACGACATTCCCACCAAAAAAGGTATAGATGAATTTTGTTTTGTCAACGTCGATTAACTTTCTCATCGCCTTTCATATCATCTTCAGAAGTCCACCTTGACTTCTTATAGACGATATTCATTGACTTTACCGTGGAAAGAAAAATTGTTTTTAAAGTGAAACTCTTTACGTCACGGTAGCGTATGTGTGAATTCGCACGTTATGAAAGGGGAACGTATCGAAAAGTGAAGCGCTTTTTTTTCTTGCAGTAATTTACGATTTACATTTATCTTTGTATGTGCGTATTATTATGCCCAAAATAACCAGTAGCGTAAACGTAAGGGCATTTCGTCAATGAATGAAGAAAAATAATTAGCCATATTTGTCTTTAACCGAGGAGTTTCCCTTTTAACGCACGTAGCGGCTATGCATAAATTTTTGTTTCTAATGTCATCCTTACCGCGTGGGGTCCTTCGTTTCGGAAAGGATCTCCAACAGCTCATCGTTGGACAAGAAGAAGAACCTAGGGAAGTAGAGTCTCTTCTTCTCTAAATAATCGTTCAAGCCTTTTTGGATCAAGTCCAAGAGACCCGTGCTCTTCTTCAGTCTCTCCAGCATCTTTTCGATCTCCACGACGGAGAGGACCTTGGGGTCCGCTTGGACGGTCTTCATGATGTCCCTCCAGGTCTTGTCCACGGCTGTGAACCTTCGTCCTTCCTCTGGCATCTGCTGCTGGATATCCGGAGAACTAAATATTGGCTCCAGGTACATCCACGTACCTTGGACGTTCAACCATTGATCCAAAATGTCTTGCAGAAGGTGCAACTTGCTCTCCCATTTTCTACATTCGTGAAAGTCATAAATCGAATAATTGACGTCATTCAATATTTTAAAAAATCACTGATACGTGTATTATATGTCGTTCAATCTTTTTATGAAAATTTAATTCTTGGATCAAGTCCCAAAGTCATAACTGGAAAAATTGACGCCATTCAATATTTAAAAAAATCACCGATAGGTGTATTATATGTCGTTCAATCTTTTTATGAAAATTTCATTCTTGGAACAAGTTCAAAAGTCATGACTCGAAAAATTGACGTCATTCAATATTTAAAATACTCCCTGATACACCTATTATATGTCGTTTAATATTTTTATAAAAATTTCATTTTTGGATCAAGTTTAAGAGTCATAACTCGAAAACTTGAAGTCATTCAATATTTTTAAAAATCACTGATACACGTATTATATGTCGTTCAATATTTTTATAAAAATTTCATTCTTGGATCAAGTTTAAGAGTCATAACTCGAAAACTTGGTCATTTAATATTTTTAAAAATCACTAATACACGTATTATATGTCGTTCAATCTTTTTATAAAAATTTCATTCTTGGATCAAGTTTAAGAGTCATAACTCGAAAACTTGACGTTATTCAATATTTTTAAAAATCACTAATACACGTATTATATGTCGTTCAATATTTTTATAAAAATTTGATTCTTGGATCCTGTTCCAAACCAAAAACATTTAAATAAGCTTGTATTACAACTTCATCATTCAAGGAATTGAGATAAAATAATGCATTCGTACAATCTATTTCGCTAGAAGTAAACTTTTCGCACAGAAATTTGTGATTCAACGAAACGATACCAATCTACCAATATTAAATGAAAACGTTCGCGTACGTTCGCGACGCTTTGCAATTTAACACCTTTTCTTTTTCGAAAATGAATTGCATTTTATAATTGAATTCACGCACTGAGAAAAAATCAATGGAAATTTACATACATTTTTACCCCCTACATAACTGAAGTTCTACATAAAAAAAAGACGTAAAATGGAAAAAATTACAAATCTGGGAATTTATAAATGTCCGAGACGTTGTATATTTACTGGATTCCTGCATTTTTACTTGCATTAAGTGTACCATTGCATTGTAATTTTTCTCGTGGCATGTAAGACCTTTACCATGTGTGTAAATCTACATGCTACCTAGTAAATTTACATATTGATAAATATACGCTGCTGGGTAAAAACACATATTCCTAATATGTGTTTTTACTAATATGTATTTTGTGTGATTATTCTCGTGGCATGTAAGACCTTTACCATGTGTGTAAATCTACAGGCTAAATCTACAGGCAGGGTAAAAACACATATTAGGAATATACATGCCACGAGAATAATTATAATGCAACGGTACACTTAATGCAAGTAAAACTGCAGGAATGCAGTAAATATAAAATGTCTCGGACATTTATAAATCCCCAGATTTGTAATTTTTTCCATTTTACGTTTTTTTTCATGTAGAACTTCAGTTATGTAGGGGGTAAAAATGTATGTAAATTTCCATTGTAAACTTAGCCACACAAATCGGATTTTTTTTATGTAGAACTTCAGTTATGTAGGAGGTAAAAATGTATGTAAATTTCCATTGTAAACTTAGCCAATCAAATCGGCTAAATTCAATCACGTGATCCCCATGTGTCTTCCCGTTTGAGAACGGTGCCAAACGCGTCTATACGTATTCAGTATAGACGGTGCGGCGTGGTGCATCATTAGTTGTTGCGAGCGTTTGGCCGGTGAAGGCAGAGATGAGTTAGGAGATTGCTCACGGGCAGGGTTGCGCGATCGCGTCCTGTGTCCCGGTGGTTGGTGCGTATTTGCCACCTGTTACCCCTCAGTGGCGGCGCAACTCATGTCTGCCAGAAATGTGTTACTCCTACATATCGCGACGCCTGGCCGCGATCCAGCTCCTTGATTGGCCGAGGCCGGGCCCAATCCGGGAGTCGGGTCCGGCTAGCGGTCGCGACCCGGGCCGACGAACTGGCAGAGATGAGTTGGGAGATTGCACACGTGCAGGGTCGCGCGATCGCACCGTGTGCTGCCCT